AACTCACAGAGATCCGCCTGGCTCTGCCTCCCGAGTGCTGGGATTAAAGGCGTGCGCCACCACCGCCGCCACCGCCCGGCAGGAAGGTATTAATTCTTAAGAAACAAAGAAATACTTCTATAGCAACTCTGACTAAAAACAAACTTGCCTTTAAAAAGTTACAGCCCTGAGCCTCATTCTGCAAACAATGTTTTACAGGTTAAAATACAATTTCTTCCTATTTAACTATCTAAAAAGCAAAGGATGTGAAACCCTACAAATTTATAGCTCTTAAAAATTTTCAGAGTAAAACAATCTTCACATATATTATGTGACAGATATGAGTATCTTAATTTTTTATGTATGGTAATCAGCATTTGAAAAAAATTATTCATGTTAATCAAAAGTACTTCCATTGGGCTGAGAATGGAGCTTGGTGGTACATCACTTGTCTGAGACAGATGGCCTGAAGTCACAGGTTTGATCAGACACCACAAAATAAGAAGGGTATTATAAAAGAGCTAGAGGGAAAATATATAAATACCAGTTTTTACAAAATGCGATGTTAACAGTCACTGTCATGAGAAGCACGAGTAATGTCTTTGACTATCAGAGGTTCCTAATATTGAAATAAAAATAAAAGTCATACACATTAAAAAAAAAGGAAAGAAAGAAATACTACATCAATTGCCACCAAATCCTCACATATCATTCACCAGACAAGCCCAAAGGAAACAACCAAATTTGACTTTGAGGTAATCAACCTGACACTCCGAACCAGTGAGTCTGAGAGCCTGATCTCCGAGAAAACAGAACAATCATAACACAGTATTCTTGCTAGCAACATCAAGGAAGTTCTATTTCTTGATTTTGTTATTTGTTTGTTTGGGGGACAGTGGAGAGGGGTGTTTGTTTTGGAGACTAGGTCTCAGGTAGCCTGGACTGGCTTCAACCCCAGTGTACCTACAGTCCAGGGCCTCAAGCAAGCTAAGTAAAAATTCTACCAACTACACTACATCCTCAGCCTGCCTGTTGTTTTTGAGACAGGGACTCACTCTGTAGCCCTGGCTGGCCTGGAATTCACAAAGATCTGCCTGCCTCTGCCTCCTGAGTGCTGAGATTATGGGTGTGCACCTCCATGGCCCATTGGATTTTTAGATTTTTTTAAAATTAGATTTGTTTGTTTGTTGTGTGTGTGTGTGTGTCTGTGTGTCTGTGTGTCTGTGTGTGTGTCTGTGTGTCTGTGAGCGCGCACGCGCGCGCGCGCTGGGGAGGGGCACCATGGCCAGCACGTGGAGATCAGAGATCTTTCCTTCTACCATGTGGAGGCCGGGAATAACACTCGGGCCATCAGACTTGTTAACTAGCACCTTTATCTGCTGAGTCATCTCAACACCCCTCAACTGGAATTTTAATGAACAGATTTTTTTCTATTCCATCTGAATTTATAGTTCAAGGAAACTACACAGATTATCAAATTCCTTACCCACTGCATAAAATAGTCTACTTAGTGTTTTTCCTTTCTGTTTTAAACAGATGCCGTTTAAACACAGGGTTGGCTTTGCTGTTTTTGCTTTGGTTTTATTTTTCCTCTACACACTTCCATTTCCTCACATAGACTCAACTAGTGTATCTATCTGAATAATCTGTTTTCCCTAATTTATGTTTAATATATGTCTAACTCTGACCTCTGTTGCCGGTAAGCCACCAGCCACGTGACAAGCTATAGATTTATAAAAATGGGTTAATTTAAGATATAAGAACAGTTAACAAGAAGCCTGCCACGGCCATACAGTTTATAAGTGATACAAGCGTCTGAGTGATTATTTTATAAGTGGATTGTGGGACTGCGGGGCTTGGGGAACCTGGAGAGAAGCTCTCCAGCAACAGACCTCTCTCTTGAACTGCAAACCTACATTTCCAAAAGCCTCTAAGCAGTCCCAGCAGGTAAGTATGTTAAAACCAGGCAAGCCAGGCCTGGAGCACACACTGGTAATCTCAGCTTCTCTGGAGATAAAGGCAGGGCTATGAATGTGGGGCTTTACCCCATCTTAAAACAATGAAACCTAATTATACAACTCATTGCTCCTATCCCTAGGAACAGGACCACCATCAACATCATCCAGTCAGAAAGGGTAACTTTCACTTTCTGCCTCCTCTAAACCTTTCCTATCAGGACCCCTATCTACCTACTGATGATCAGTGCTAGGCTCTGTTGAACCTTTGTTCTCATCCACTACCATTACTCTCAGTGTGCACAGCAGTATATTAATAGCTTGCCATAACAAATCATTCTGCACACTAAACTATCACAAGGTACATACTTCTCATTTTCTTCCAAATGCTGAACTTCTAAATACAGCATCTAAACTTGCTCCACAATCCAGCCTCAACTTAAATTCAAACTTCATCTCTAATTCCAAAATAAACCATCCAGGTCATCTGGTATACTAACTCTTCTCTACATCATGAGCCTTCTCATCTCCAAAACTGTCATTCTCTTAATTTGGAAGGCCTTCTTTATCCACCAGATCCTAACTCCTGAATCTTTGTTTTAGAAGAGTTTAACCATCAGTCACCAACTAATTTAAGATTGCCAGTTTAAGAGCAGGGTACAGTGGAACATGCCTGTAATCCCAAACACAGAGGTGGAGACTTCAGATCAGAAGTTCAAGGTCATAGTTAACTGCAAAGCAAGCCTTAGGCCTACTTAAGACACAGGAGACCGTGTCTCAAAAATTAAATCAAATAAATAAAAACAATACAAGTTTATTGGGAAGTACCAACTTTCCCACATGGCAGATCTGGCTTCAGATAGAGACTATTATGCTAGCCACATAACTCTAAGGGAAGTTACTGAACAGATTGAGACTCAGTATCCGGACTATGAGAGATGCCTACACATTGAGACCCTGCCTGCACACTGGGACCCTGTCGGCACAGAAAGAAGCTGCTCTCCTGTTGAGATAGCATAGCAGTAATAGAACTAAGTGCCTAATAAATAATAGCACTGACTACCCTTGAGTGTTAGCACGTCTCTACAGTTTTCCATGAGGCTTTAAGGTAAAACAAACATTTTCCTTTTGCACAACCCCAAACTTTAGATAAACCCACTCACGTGGTTAAGTATTTGCACACATGTCATTCTTTCTTCAGAGGGTCTTCATTTGTTGTGAGCAGGGTCGCTCTGCCTAGCAGCTACCATCATCTTCCTCTGCTCCCTTTGCCTCCATATGCACGCCACCACATCCAGCCAGACATTAATCTATACTATGAACTGTTGAACAAAAACCTTACATCTCCTACTAGACCCAACTTCTAAAGACCAACCTTAATCTCTGTGACTTAGAGTGCCTGGCACAGTATTTTTCATGAAGCATTCAACACTTCCCTCTAAATTAAGTCCCAATTCAAAGCAAGGTTAGTATTCCTAGACAGTGCAATTTAGTTCTTCATGATTTCAACACACCTTGGAAAATTATCAAAACATAAGTCTTAAGTCATAATGGTTTCGCCTTTATTTGTCCCTACACGGTTCCCTAAAAGAGCCTGACACATAGAAAATGCTCGGTATTATTTGAATTGACTTGAGCAACAATTAAAAGTTACAGTGCCTGAAAGCATCTGATTTTCACCAATTTCCTTTTTTTGCTTTTATAACTCCCATAATTTTTCCCTTCAAAATACATTATACCCAAAGTACAAATCCATAACCAAATCTAACTTGACTCATTTTCTAGACTCTAATTTCAACATCCCAACCCTAGGTACTTCCAACATAGATATATAAGAAGGCACCGACCGTTTCCATCCAAATCTAAACACTGTGCAACTTAGCTTTACTCACATTTTCCCCACAAACTTAAAAAACATCCCCTCTATCTGTTTAATATCAATAACCTTGGCATAGATATGGGAAGCTGGAGAGATGGCTTACAGGTAAAGGACCTGAACTGGGATCCACAGCACCCACATAAAAATCAAGTCCTGCAGCATGTCTGTAATCCTTGGACAGAGACTGGGGGGACACGGAGAAAACCTGGGACTTGCTGACCAGACAGCCCAGCCAAAACTCCAAGCTCCAGGCTCAGAGACACCCTGTCTCAAAATAATAATAATAACAACAACAACAACAACAATACTAATAAAAGCAAAGAGAAATATAAGAAGACACCCAACGTCAACATCTGGCATTACACAGAGAAACTTTTTTAGTGAAATAATTTTTCTTTTGCATAAGACAGTTCATGGTACTTCAAAACTATTCCCCTCATTCATGGTATTACCTTCCCTTTCCGGTGGTAGAGAATGACAAATACAAGAGAGAAAGACAGACAGACAGACAAGACAAAAAAAAAAATCAGTATAGATCCTAATCTAAGCATAAGAGAAGAGCCGATAATGTCACTGGCTTGATGAAAATAACTTACGTATACACCGCAGCAACACAAGGCATTTGCAACAAATGAACTTTCTGATTATAATTTAAAACTCAATGAAAATGCAAAATATCTCCAGTATTTCCTACAAACCTTTCACCGGCAGTTTTATCACCTAAACTCCGTTTACTAACAGTACCTACAAGATTTTCTTCTCTAGGAAATTCTCAGTTTATTCGAGCTAAACACTTCATACGTTTAAATCAACAAACACACACCTCTGGCCAGCTGTGGGAACCTCCGCCGCGTTGCAACAACAGCTGGACTATACAAAGAACCTCTGAGGAGAAACTGAGGACATTATTTTTTAAGCTCAAGAAATGACAGCTCCAAGTATGAAAGTAAACAAATCTGGGGTAGAAAAGGATACCATTCTCCAGCTCTTTGCAGTCAACTTGTGCAACGTCCGGACTGAACTCTTACAACTGTGACTTCGGTTGAGCACAGGAATTCCTAAGACTGATTAAGAGAATCGGCATCGTTTTTTTTTTTAAAAAAAAACGTCAGCAAGAAAACGGGAAAAACTCATCTGAATCTACGACTCTCCTCCAATCTTTGTTTTTTTTAAGAAGCGACTTTCAACAGTTTCAGCTTTCAAGTTGACTCAAGACCCTCCGCGGAACGCTCCTGCTCCGTGACCCTACGCAGACACCCAGACCCAGGCAGTTTCAAGCCGAGTCCAAAATCGAACCCAGGCGACCCTGGCGCAGATCGGGGATGAAAAGCCCCGCACAAGATCGCCAGCATCCACACAGGCATCGCCCCACCCTGGGACGGAGACGACACCCCTGGGACACAGGATCATTGCTGAGCCGGGAGTGGGGGGGGACAGACCCAAGAGGCGACGCAAGTCGGGCACTGATGTCCAGTGCGCTCTGGCGGTCCAGGTTCCCCGGAGCCCGGGCGCACGGACCCCCACTGCGGAGGGCGCCGAGCCCACTGGCCCGGGCAGAGAGAGGGAGAGAGAGGGGGTCGCAGCGCGGGCGGCCGGGCCCCGCTCCTCCGGGGTCCCC